CCAATTTCAAGGTTGAAATCATTTATCCCAACTAAACCATTAATAGTTACGTTTGAAACGTCTAAATAGAATACTAGTCAAATAGTCTGTTCGTCAGTAAAGATAGGTACTAGTGGGTGAAGCTTAAAAAAACAATATCACCCGTTCAAGGCAAGGTATGATCGCTAGTTAGAATATGAACTACGAAAATATTGATAAACAATAGCCAACGCTGATTACAACAGTACTGCCTGAACCGTAGCGTAACGCTACACTGGACCCAATCACTGCTCGTTCTCAGTCATCGAACGTTTCACATACAGCTCTGAAAGGTAAAAGAATAAGACTGCCGATATTAAAACGATATTCTCATCAAAGACAGTTTATCTTTTTTGTGAGGAGCAAATCATCAAATGACTTTTCCTGCCTTGGGTGTGGCGAAAGGGATTGCCAGACTCTTACTGACTAAAAACCCCCAAATCATTCTCTTTTTTATGTAATAGATCGGCAAACGAGCAGATGGATTACCTGCAAGTGAGCAATCAGCGCCGCCCATGGACATTCGCAACGGAAGAGTAACGAGTGCGTTGCCGACCTTTTAGGAATTAAGGATTTGGAGATTTAGGGATTGCGGAGGGTTTGAGTGAAGGGAAGGATTGGGCCTCCGGTAACCTCACTTACACGGCGAAACACAACGCTGTGGTTGTTTCACGCCACGTTTTCTGTGAGGCCGTGGTATCACTCTGGTTGAGCCGACCCATTTGTGCCGATACACTATTTCTGATCTGAATTGATTCCAAAACCGAGCAAATATGAACATCGTAATACTAGAACAATTTCTTCGGTAGTTAACGCACTTTTGCGTCATCTATCAACTGATGTCTTTCAATCAGTATGCGTTTCAAGGAGTATGCGTATTCTGCTCGCCTTTTCTACGACGTACATATTTCCACGCTTTCGAATCAGACGAAGTCCGGATGCAATTTAAGATTATGTGAAAGCATATGAATTACCGTCACAACCATATGTTTTAGATTCGAATGTTTATCTTTTTACTTATCTTACTTGTAATATTAATTTACGAGTAGGTACTTGATGTTTATTTTTCATATAGACAGAAAAAATAAAATTGAAAAAAAAAAAAAAACAAAAAAATGCTATATGCAAACCTGCAATTAGATGAAATATGAGGAATTTTTTTTTACCAAAAAATATTATTTTGACACAATATCTTATGGTTGATAGTCAGGTAGCAATTTTATTTTTTATTGTCGATCCTTAAAATCGACACGATTGTTTGAAGTGAATTCTAGATAAAGAAAGCATATTGATGTTATTATGCGCAATGCCATTTGTAATAGTTTTATTTCATTTGGATACTAATGTGGAATAAAAACGTTTTTTTTTGAGATACGGTCTGAAATGGAATAGAGAAGATTTTTTATAAGTATCGAAACCTTTCGCGCGTTTCACCAAACTTTGATGTAGTTATTATTAGTATAATTTAATGCATTGGTTTGTTTCAATACTAGCTTCCTCCCGTAGCACGCGCATAAAAGTTATGTATTATGGTAATTTTAAGGATATTAATAAAATATATAACTAATAGCATATAGGTAGCATCCAGGAAAATTGTAGCTATCTATATGTATATCAGTGAAAGTATTTTGGAAATTCGACCAGCGGTTCCAAAAATAACTCCTACATATGAACTTATAAATTGTACCTCTTTGTAATATTTGTATTGATATATTTTTTGCTAAAGTAAACTCTTCTATAACATTTGCACGTACAAATTACACTAAAATGCAATATATTTCGATTTAAATTGATTCGTTCTAGAAATAATATTTGCTTGATTACTTTAACAAACCCAACTTGACATAATATTGAACCGACTCAATTTGACCCGTACGTGTGTACTGAGTATGGTTATAAGCTGTATAGTTAAAATTTAATAATTTTAGATTCAGTAACAACATGATAAGTTTTTGTAAAATAAATATAATATATTAAATTAATTAATATATAATAAAACGACTTACAAAATCTACATTTGTTCAAATGTTAAAGAATGGACTTTTAGCTTAATTCTTGAACTGGGTTGCGGTTGCAAGCGCTCAGGTGCAGGAGAAGGTGGGGAAGGTTTTTAGTCAGTAAAAGTCTCATACTCTCTCACCCCTTCCCTTCTCTCAGAGCAGGAGAATTATTTAGTTGACCTTTTCAACTCAACAAAATAAATCTTTATCCTTGAGTATGAATACCTTAAAACATAGGACTGATACCTAAAAATTTCGCCAAAGATCGGAGTGTTACCATGACCCTGCAAAACTGGGGGGCCAAATGTGTACCCCGTCACATCCTCTTTTCTAAAATCTTTTATAATCATTACTATTATCTTTAAAAATATATTATATCTTTAAATATTCAGGAGGGTAACACACGGACACGGGCTACATCAAAGAGTGTCAAGTACACTCTTTGATGTAGCCCGTGTCCATGGTTTGCTGGCTGGCTTACCATAAGATGATTGGTGTTTTTGCTTGCCAACCTCATCACCATCATCAGTCTATAAGTGCTCACTGCTGAGCAAAGGCCTCTTCTCACACAGAGAAGGTTTGAGCATTAATCACCACGCTTGCTCAATGCGGGTTGGCGATTTCAAACTTATAATTAAAAATTATAAGTTCAGGTTCCCTCACGAAGTCACATTGGTACATGCCAGGTTTCGAACCCACACCTTCAAGCATGAGAAGCAGGCTCCATAATCTACGGGCCACCACGACTGCTTGCCAATCTAACCTATGAATAAAAGAAAAATAATGAAACATATTTTCTGCTAAACTGTTATTATTTAAAAGACATGATAATTTTAGTCGTCAAAAATTCCCTTGTGCAATATAAGTATAGGTTCACGATCCTCGAATCTCCATGAAAATATTTCAGTTTATCGTTTGAAAGGCAATACGTCACAGACCGTCCGGCCGGAAATTAAAATATTCTGAAAATTGAAGGTACGTGACGATTTTTCAGGACAAAGTCTTTGATGAATCTTTTTCGATACCTTTGTGATGATAAATTTGATTCATGCGAGGTCACGTTGACCTCTGATGTACGAGCTCCGGAAATTTTCGCCTTTTCAATAAGTTTCGTTCAGATCACAAAATTCTTGGCTTTTTGTTGTAAATTGTGATTTTCTATTATAACTGTGACATTAATGTTATAACACAACTATAAATGTTTTGTACGTACAATTGATTAACAATCGTCTCAAGCTGTCTACTGGGTAAGCGACCCTGAAAAGTTTTTTTTTGCCATTCAAAAAATGTTTCTTGACATGGCAATCAACACCGCTGTTTTTTTTTTAAATTGGTGCAGTGTATCGATTCACTCGGACCTGGAAAATACCCAGGTAAACCGTCGAGGATCACCGACTCCGTAAGATAATTGCTTCATCTGTGTAGGTGGGACAATTTCACCATGGATGAGTGACGTTTTTCCGATTGTCTAGTGGCATGATGATTCAAAGGCACAGGACATCCGAATGAAGCGGTTACATTACTGATACCTCAACTAATGAGGCGATAAACTACCTCAGACTAACGAACCATGTTGATTCTGCATGGCTATAATAACAATGGCTGATATAATTGCTCTTTAAAATAATAATCAGAACATACTTCTTTTAATGATCATATTTTATGCTAGATTCAACATAGCAACATAGAAACAACCACACGGCGTGAAACAACCACAGCGTTGTGTTTCGCCGTGTGAGTGAGGTTACCGGAGGCCCAATCCTTCCCCTTCCCGGACCCTTCCCCAATCCCTAAATCTCCAAATCCCTAATCTCTAAAAGGCCGGCAACGCACTCGTAACTCCTCCGTTGCGGGTGTCCATGGGCGGCGTTGATTGCTTACCATCAGGTAATCCGTCTGCTCGGTTGCCGACTTATTACATAAAAAAAAATAGCAATATAGCATTTTAAGTGTGGGAGAGCCAAGCTGTAACACGAATGGGTCAGTTCGACCAGAATTATACCAGGGCCTCACAGAAAACCAGCGTGAAAGAACTACAGAGTTATGTTTCTTAGACTTTCTGTGTGACTTAGATTATATTTTTTTTGTTTTTAAAAAAAGTTCGGTAACGCACTCGCAACTGCTCCGTTGTTGATGATGCTCACGGGCGTCGGGCGTCGATTGCATAGAATCAAGTAGACGGATTATCTGCGTACAAGAAAATAGCAATAACATTTTTGTGCAATTACTTTGTAAAAATAAATTATTTACTAGAATATTCTGAATATTCTCTTATGTCGTGGCAGCATTTACAAACATACACATGCCACTAAGACCCGGTACAACAAATTGTGGATTACACAAAGTGTTTTTCCATACGGGAATCGAATTACCCCGTCGTCGTACACGTTGCACCGGATCCAGTCCCGCCACTACGTCAATCGTCCAGTAAAAAGTTAAGTATGATTCTATTAGTTTTGCAAATTTTGGGCTACCGAACTGCAAAAAAAAAATAATAATATAATTATTGTCAGTCATCAAAGTTTACGTTAAGTTAATTCAACTTTCACACAGTTGGTGCGGTGGCTGGGCAACTGGCTGCCGCGCGACGTGTCGCGGGTTCGATTCCCGCACGGAACAACTCTTTGTGTGATCCACAGATTGTTGTTCCGGGTCTGGGTGTGATGTGCATGTGAAATTGTATGTTTGTAAACGCACCCATGACACAGGAGAAAATCATAATGTGGGGCAACGTTTTTTATTAAAAAAAAAACTTCAATAAATATAGCCTTTTCCAGTTTTTCAGTTATTATCAGCAAATGCTGGTGTAGCAATTGACTAAATAATTTACAATGCTCTTTCTTGATTTTCTTATTTTAAATTAAATACTGTAACGAATAATTTATTATAATGGGCATTATTTCGTATAAATAGGGAACACGGCTGACCAGATTATCAGTGTTTACTTGACGTAACTTGGTTGAGTTGAATTTGGAAGCAACAATGGATTTGAAGTTCTTACTGCTTTGCTTCGTGCTGTATCTGTGCAACTTAGTCAGCTGCCAGGACGAAGACTATCGCCGGAGACCAGACGCATTTTACGGTGGCTGCATCAATGGCACAGTGCGCATGCCTGATGGTGAATGCGTACCAATTCAAAAGTAATGAATACATTAAAAAATATTTTTACTTGCACCCAATTTTAGTAAATAAAATGCATTGAAATACAGCTTGGTTTTTAATTTTTAATATTTGCACATTAACAGCCCTTGAGAGGCATCTGCAGAATAGTGGGTATCATTTTTTATTCAGAAAGAAAGTTAGATTTTTTTTAAATAATTTAAAGTATAAATAAAATAATTATTAATAAATTTTGCAGAGGTCCCTTGAACATTAATAAAATATAATATATAAAATAAATCGGATATCACCCATCGTATATATTATATTTATGCTCTATGCATGTGAACAGAAGGGCAATTACTAACTTTTAAACTTTCGCGTTTCATCTTAACAACATTATATTTACGCGGGTAGTTCCTACATTGGGCAAACGAAGCGGACCATTGCTGAGAGGCTCAAAGAACATATCGCCGCAGTCAAAAACCGACAGAGCAACAAATCAGCGATAGCAGAACACCTGCTCCAGGCTGGTTCTAATCACGGGGTAGAATTCCACCGACCGCAAATTCTCTCCACTGATCGCCACCACTATACAAGACTTGTGCGTGAAGCGGTTGAAATAAAGAAATGCCCAAATAATTTCAATCGGGAGGACGGCTTTAAATTGTCGTCGACGTGGAATCCAGTGCTTCGCAAAACACAACCTCGCTTTCCTTCGAAGTCATATGTAACTACGAACTACGGACTGGTAGACTTGCTAACCAAAAAAATCTATGTAGTCTCTCTCATGTACTCATGTTCATATATGTTAAGCTGCGATCTCCAACACGTCTGTCATGAGAGGAAATATCCCCTTTTTAATTTGTGTTATAAGCTGTTTTCTGAGGGGGGAAACAATGAAATTACTTCTTTTGCCCAGGGTGAGACATAAGAGAGAGTCAGACTCTCTCTAACTAAAAACCACCATTGAACTTGAACTGCAACGCTGACTCAAAATGGGCCCTCTTTGGCCCCATTTTTGGTGGTCTATTGGGTCTTTTAAGGGTTTTCTTGCTCTAAAATCGAGGAGATACGACCAACGGTATTTTTTTAGCAATTAACACGCCGACCTGTGTCTTTGAAAGGTTTAATTGGACCAAATTTTGTCTACCCGAGAGATTCTCAAAAGTCAAATATCATTTATTCCTATTAGATACTTAGGGGCACTTTTGAACTTCAAACAAAATTTAAAGATATAAAGTGAAAGTCTGTCGGTCAGTCCTCTTAGTGAAGCTGCTCGTTCCAATGGAGAAGAACGAGCAAGAAACTCCATGATTACTCTTTTTAAATCAGTTTCACATACAGATTCCTTATACAAACAGTCATTTCAATTATGTGAGAACAGTGTAACACTAATATTTATTCAGAGAAATATAAAAAGAAAATAACCTTAACGGCAATAGACAGTCCGGGGCGCGCATTCACGAACATGACACGTACACCAATATCGCCCAACTCAACCATATTATAGGGATTTAAGCGATCCAGTGCCCGTGCCACCGCCACTCTGATCTTTGAGAGAGTATGACAACTCCAAGCTGACATAAGGTCTAAAATTCTGCAAGTCTAACCATTTGTAATAGGTTACATGGCACTCACATTTACAAATTTATCAAGTTATAGTTATACAGTATAATGCAATTTCACTAAAATGGAGAAGTCCCGTTCAAGCAAAATCCATTGGAACGTTATTTATTTTGGTGTAGGTTTGCTATCCTGTGGAGCAGGACCAGCTTGTTTCCAAACATCTTTATCTACAATATAATCATTCAGTGTGTAGTATGCTTTTCCACATAAAGTTTCTTTACACATAATTTAAAATTTCTTTCATTTAATTGTTGTATTTCGCCTGGGATTTTGTTATAACATTTAACACAGTATCCCATGAACGACTTGTGTACCTTTGCCAATCTAAATAATGGCTGGCATAATCTATCTCTATGTCTAGTTTGATAATTATGTCTATCTGACACCTTATCGAATATTTTAAAGTTTTTCCTAACATACATAATGTTTTCATAAATAAACTGACATGGCACAGTAATAATATTGATCTCTCTAAACTTTTCTCTAAGACATTCGCGACGCCTTTGGTTGTAAATAGCTCTGATAGCACGCTTTTGGAAGACAAAGATAGACTCAATGTCAGCAGCCTGTCCCCACAACAAAATACCATACGAAAAAATGCTATGAAAGTAGCTGAATTATACCAGTCTTGCAGTGCCCACATCTGTTAGCTGTCGGATCTTTCAGACAGCAAGTGCTGCAGAGCTCAATCGTCCAGCCAGAGATGTGATATGGGGATCCCATTGTAGTTTTTCATCTATTGTAATACCCAGAAAAGTAATTTGTTTAACAAATTCCAATTTCATACTGTTTAATAATATCTTACATTCATTACCTTTAATATTTGGCAAACCGAATCGTAGTTTTTGTCGTATAGTACTAAATTATTTACTGAAAACCAATTATGAACTTTCGCGATAGCATTATTTTATTTATTTACCATTATTAACCTCGTTATGATTCTTTGTCCGTCTATTTATTGAATAAAATCAACGGTATGTCATTAGCAAATATAGCTATTACCGGTTCGTGAACCGGGAATAGCAAATAAATGAGGTAAGTAATTTATGTAGACCAAAAAGAGGAAATGACCTAATATCGAACACTGTGGTACGCCCATAGATATGCTAGCAAGATAGCTAGATATCTCTCTAAGTTTTCTCCGTTTGGCGAAGAACAGACACACCTGGGTATTGCTAGAGTTAAACTTAACCAAGTTGGCGTCACCTCAGCTGGAAACCGCCTTCAAAAACGCGTTCAAGCGATCAACCAAATATTATTTTAGAGTACGGATCTGTGATCCACTAGTCCAAACGCCAGTGCAAAAACCGTCCCGTCATCAGCATATCCAAAGATACCCGGCCTAAGCAGAGTTTTTCTAACCAGTGAAGGGTACTTTAAGAGCACATAGAAGTATTTAATAAATAAGAAACTCATTTCTATTTCAATGCATTTTATTTTAATTAAAGGTGCGAAATCATTCTCTAACTCTTCAAATATTGCCATTGTTCTTTATGCATTCACCTGTATCGACGCGGATGGCGCCATTGCTACAGCCACCTTTGTACACATCATCTGGTCGGCGCCGGTAGCCGGAGTCCTGGCAGCTGACGAAATTGCACAGGTACAGCACAAAGCAAAGCAGTAAGAACTTCAAATCCATTGTTGGTTTAAAATTGAACTTAACCGAGTCACGTCAAGTGAACACTGATATTCTAGTCACTCGTGTCCACTATTTATACGAACTTATTATAATAAACGAATACTTATTATAATAAATCGTTTAGTTACAGCATTTAAATTTAAATTAGAGAATTTGAAATACAGTACTTCTAATTGTAATAACTGACGGTTACTGTGAATTCGTGTCTAACTAACTAAATTGTCGTTTATTTAGAAAAATATATAAATGTTTTTTTTTAAATTTTAAAATATGTTTTTTTCCCTCTTGTTTTTTTATAACCATTTAATACGAGTGGATATATTATAGTTAATTGATTGAAATCTCAAGAATTATAGTTAGCTCATCGATCATGGTAACTGAATTTGTTAAGATTAAAACTTAAGCTATCAAGTAAGGTAAATCACTGCCCACAATATTAGCATGTTCATAGGTTATACTGATGGGCATCACAGTCAAAATAGTATTTTTTTTTTCTACTTTCAATAAAATCCATATTGCAGACTAGTGTCCTATGCATCCCTTGCGTCACTCAGGTCAGGCCACGACCACCTGTAATTGAAAGGTATACATTAGGGTTCTGCTATTCAATGTATTCGTGTATTCTCGGATCTCAATCGTTTCATTACTCTCTCACAAACACACCACTATTCAGTTCTTTCTTTCTTTTATTTTAATAAAAAAACGTTGCCCTACACTAGGATTTTCTCCTGTGTCGTGGGTGCATTTACAAACATACAATTTCACATGCAAATCACACCTAGACCCGGAACAACAATCTGTGGATCACACAAAGAGTTGTTCCGTGCGGAAATCGAACCCGCGACACGTTGCGCGGCAGCCAGTTGCCCAGCCACCGCGCCAATCGTGCAGTCAAGTTATAAGGAAGCTGCTAAGAAAACTATGTACCTATTTAGATTTGTCCATAAAAACCATAATTCTATTGTAGTCCAATACACTAAAAAATTAGGGAACAAAGAGTAAACTAGTAGTAACAAGAGTAAAGTAAACTAACTAAAAATAGCGGGTTACTCACGTGTAAATACTGAGAAAAGCTCTACTAGTTTCGAACCACAGAGGGGTTCTTCCTCAATAGCAGCGTGCGCGGACGCGGCGACGTCGCGCAGCAGTCCGTAGAAAGCTTAAGATTGGTGGTATATACAAAAATCGGTTCATTTTATTTAAATTTGTATAAATTTACTAGGTATGTGTTAATTTTAGTAGATCCAACCTTAAAACCCGAGCTTTGTTTTTTGGTTTGAAGTTAACCAAAACAACTTAGAAACGAATTTAACCGATCAGGATTTATATCACTTATTGAAATGGTTTAACAGCTGTGAGCATTTCCTGCTGCGTGTAGAAGACTCTGCGTGACAAGAGAAACGCTATGCCGTTCTGACCCGCTGCCTTATGAAGATGTTTTCCGGCCGTTTCGGAAGGCACCTTTTTCGGATTCAGGAACACATAGTATTTTCTAAATCATTTGCTTTGTACCTTGAATAACACGATGATAAGTAATTTTAATGCTGACCAGTTGTGTAGGAAATGTTTAAGCGAAGCTTCTGTTAAATAAGAACATATAATCTCCATTGTATTTCCATGATCTAATAGAAAGGCTAATTAGATATTTGATTTACATTTTTTATGTGATAGGACGACAAACTGAATGTAATCCGTCTGGATTACCCGATGGAAAGCAATCAGTGCCGCCCATGGACCGAACAGCCCCCGCAACAACGAAGGAGTTCCTTGTACACCTTTTAACGATTAGGGTTTTGGATATTTTGAGATTAGGCCTTCGGCAACCTCACACAACACTGTGGTTGTTTCACGCCGGTTTTGTGACCTCGTGATGCCGTGGTATCCCTTCAGGCGAGCCAACCCATTCGTACCGAAGCTTGGTTCTCCCACACTTACACTTACGTACCCTGTCATTATCCTGATTACTAACTGGGCTAGAATATTTTCACTATTTAAGGGGTTCTGTAACAAAGTCTGTAGTAGTATTGGTTATTATGTCATGTATGTATTCTCCTTGTGATCATTGTTATTTTTTTTAGTAAGTACAACCCACCTTGCGGTACCGGGGTTGCGGGTTAAGCATAACAATGTATCGTGGCCCTGGCCTGAGGCCGGAGAAGGAGCGGAATGAATGGTTTTTAGTCTGCCTTGTCAACCTGGGCGATAGAAGTCATTTAATGACTTTAATATGCAGTGACGTCAGATATACATTTGTCATTTGGTATGTGATAAGCGGACACAATTATATTAGGTATATAGAAACCCCTTTTAAAGTGCGAGATCCAAAACCCCTGAAACATGCGAAGATCTTTTCTACTTTGAATCTATTGATGTACCTATCGTTAAGTGGCTTGGGTCGAATACTTCTATTCAGAATACTAATATTTATTTGTAAAAAAGAGCATAGTAATAAATAAAAAATCTTAGTTTAATTTCAATGCATTTTATTTTGTCGTTGCAGAAAAATGAGCGACATTATTTTCGGTTCTACAACTCATTTAACAATGCGTTCTTTCTTTATGCATTCACCTGTTTCAGAACGCTGGGCGCCATTGATACAGCCACCTTTGAACACATCTGGTCGGCGGCGAAAGTCCTGGCAACTTACTAAGTTGCACAGATACAGCACGAAGAAAAGCAGTAAGAACTTCAAATTCATTGTAGCTTCCAAATTCAACTTCAAGTGAACACTGAAAATCTGGTCTAACGTATTTACTATTTATACAAAATATTACCTCGTTATATTATAATAAATCGTTTTGTTTCAGTATTCAATTTAAATTCAGAGCACCAGAAAAATAGTACTTCTAATTAACGACACACCATTAACCGTGAAAACGTGACTAACAATGTAGTTTTTATGTGATCGGTCAGCAAACGAGGATTACCTGATACTAAGCAATCAGCGCTGCCAATGCACACTCGTAACACTCAATAGTGCTATGGGGGCCTTTTGGGTATGGAAAAATAGGACTGGGAATAAATTAATGATCTGTAAAATAGGAACGAATTGGACCTCCGGAAAACTTACTTACATACCGAAACACATCGTGGTATCAATCCGGCCAAGCATGGCTACACGACATTTTGTGAAAACAAGTATTTGTTTAATAAAATCAAGCCTTAATCGTTGACTATATAAAATTGTATTTCTCTATTATAATATCCTCTTGAATGATAATAATGTTATCATGTCCCTAAATGCTTAAATATTTTAAGGGGGATGTGAATGATTACGCATCAAATGATGATCATCAGGTACACACAGACAGTGTTACTAGACGGCACAGCATGCATATGTTATGTCTCAGTGCCACCATTGTGGTGATTGCCGCGACGATGCGGCGCTGCATACCTTGGTGGAGTGCCCAGCTTGGCTCGAGCAGCGCCGTGACCGTGGACGATAGACTCGGGGCGTCTTGTTGTTGAGTCCTGCGGTCGGGGTGACGGCCGCAGTGGGTGACGGGGCCCGCCAAACCATCTGGTGGGCCAATACCCATCGGGGGGTTGCGACGAATCTTTCGGCGATACCCGCCCCTCCGACACATGGGTGAGTGGAGGAACACCGGGTTGGTTATTAGTAAGTAAGAGTCTGACAGTACCCGTCGCCTTTCCCCGAGGGCGATGGGTCCCCGTAAGGATTTTCCAAACCGATACCAACAAAAAAAATGCATATGTTATGTATGATAAATGCCATTTTACAAAATAAGGTTAGACAGGAAAAACATAGAGAATCAACAGGTAAAAATACATAGTGAAAAAATTTGCCGCAGGTTAACGAGAAAATTACGAAAACTCTATTTGCATCCGGCGGGTGATTCAGCCAGGAAGTGAGTACCTTACCGTTTCGCTCGCTCATTTCCGGTTTCGTTGCCGCACTCGCTTCGGTAGATGGCGCTAAGAGCGTACCGAGTGTACGTTGTTTAAATTCGACATGTGCACAACCGTGTGCAAAACTAAACTTTCGTTAATTAGTTTTTCTAATATTTGCTCGACCGGTCTGGTGAATTCAACAATAATACTAATTATGACATGAGGTTTATATCCTTATACCTTTTACTATATTTTTCGTTCGACTACCTTTTGGTGGCGAGCACAATAGTTCGGATTTTAAAACTGTAGTCTGTGTAAGGAAATATTATGGTCTAAATCCGAAACTAGTCCCGACTTGACCTACGTGAGCAAAGGTACAACCATTCATTAAAACTACTAATATTTCGATCTCTTCTTTTATTTGAAAGGAATGTTTCGTAAAATAAAAAAGAAGAACAAAACTGGTGTATGTACGTTGTATCATGATTTATGTCGGCGTCCCCATCGTCGGAACGTTGATTCATCATTTTCATACGATAAAAACTGTGTTATTTCTCGCGTAATCCGACCGAATGAAAAATAGTCAGACTAACAAAAATGTTTTCCGGGTTATACCTAGTGTGTGTTTCTTGCGGGACTTTCACGTTGGTCGTTTGATTCTCAAGTTTTGTTTTTATAGAATGAGGTTCAAACTATCAGATTACCTGATGGTAAGCAATCGAAATTTTGGGAGTTGTTGAAATATGAGGAATAGAAAATTGAATAAAAGGATCAATATCAATTCATATTAATGTTCAAATAGAATTGGTAGTTGGTCGTTAGAATGTAGCCCTTCTGTTTAATAAAATGTAAAATCTTTTAAAGAAGACAGGCCAAGAGACATTGTGCCAATCTTTAAATACAAATGTGATTGAGAATAATTCAACGGTAATTATTATATAAACATTCAGTATGGAAGACTGTCACCCGGTTTCTGAAAGGCTTGTCAACGCTAAAATTAACTAATCTCCTGTTAAATGTCTTGTCAAGTCATCTGATTGGTTGTTGATAATTCAATTAACCAATCAGATGACTAGACAAGAGATTAAATTGATTTTAACATTGATCGGCCTTTCGGAAACCGGGCGTAAGTC